TACATACATACATACATACATACATACATACATACATACATACATACATACATACAGTTGTTAAATGGATCCTCAACATTCAGAAATATTATATCAGATAAAGAGGCAAAAGTGGGATAGTTGCAAACCTCTTGATGACATATACTGTCTGCTGTGAAAACAGGAGACCAAAGTAGATACTGCATCTGTCTTTTTTGAAGATGCTCAAGAACAATTGGCCCCAACCTGAAACCTCCATGGTCCTATATTGGATAGGAATTTTTGGAATTGCAATCTTATTGAATTGTGGGGGAGGTAATGCCAAGAAAACAGAAACATTACTGTTTTTAAAGAATATCAAGATACACAATGTTTAGAATTGGTGAGGATTGACTATATCTCTGTTATTTCAACCTTTAAAAATACAGAGAAAACAAAATTCTAAGGAAGCAAAGAATGCTTTGCATAAGCTATTATGGGAAATCAGTAGAAAAGTAAAGTCAATTTAGCATATTTCCTGAAATTTCCTGACAATTTGAACAATTAATCATTGGAACAACTTGCCTCCAGAAGTTGTGAATGCTCCAACACTGGAAGTTTTTAAGAAGAGATTGAATAACCATTTGTCTGAAATGGTATAGGGTTTCATGCCTAAGCAGGGGGTTGGACTAGAAGACTTCCAAGGTCCCTTCCAACTCTGTTTTTCTTTTTCTATTTCTATTCCTCTGTGATTCCTCCCATCAATTAGAAAACCAGGCTGCATCTACAACCTTATTACATGGCTATCATCATCATGGCATCTTAAAAATCCCCAGTGACATTTGCATCACTTTTTAGGTGCTAGCTTAAGCTTTCCATCTGTTGAGGTGGGGCATAATATGATGAACATAGTGAGCTGTGTGCAGGCATCCTATGGATCAACAGGGTGAATTATGCAATGAGCAAACAAAGAAGACTGAGATAAACATTGGCCTGGAATAGTTATATTCTAGGGTGAAAATAGCTAGCTCAGAAAGTAGAGGATAATTTTGCTGCTACCTAACTCCATACAGCTCTAAGGACACTGCTCTGTGGGGATGAAGAAATAGATCAAACTAGAAAAACTCACCGTATTGAAATTAGGAAAAAGGTTGAGTGGAGGGGTGCCATTGAGGCGGAAAGTCAGAAAATGCTTGATATCCAATGATGGATGTAAAGACCGTCCTGGGATGGGAAGCGAGGCTAAGAGGGAGTTGTTGTGATTAGCTGGTCCTAGGAATCAAGAACAGAACAGAAATAAGATATAATATATGTTTCAAAAGACATAGCTGGAAGGAGAGGCTGGCTAATATTGTCCCTTAAAGCAGAACTTCTAATGTGGGGTGCTGCAAGAAAATGGTTAATTCATTATGAGAACTAAACAAGGACCAAATTCTCATCCCATAGCAGAGATAGTTAGTCACATGTTTGTTTCTCTTCTTATATTACATGCTTTCATTGCTTCAAAATTATAACTTACTTCAGACAGATGCATTGGAATAGAAATTCAGAATAGTTGCATACAAACACATATATAAAGTTTGTGTGTGTGTGTGTGTGTGTGTGTGTGTGCGTGCACATATAACAGAACATTATATAACAAACATAAAATATCAGAATGATTCACTCTTCAATGGTTACAAGCATTGTAAACATACAGTAGAATAACTCATGTTAGAAATGGGGATAATTCAACCATTCCCAACTCCAAAAGTAGTTGTTATTGTCTCCCAGCATGAATAATCACTCTAAGCATTCTTTTTAGTAATGAATCATACCAAAAGTAATAATTCAAATAGACATGTGATTAGCTTCCCTGGGTCAAGTAATTTTTATTCATAATGCAGGATAAGTCGTGTTAACTTTTATTCCTTTTTTCATTTTTTAGATATACTAGAACATCTTCAATCTCTCTAATATGTCAAGGCATCAATTTCCAGTATTGTCTCCATTAAAGATATCAAATGATTTTTCCAGAGATCAGGAGAAAATGTCTTAAGAAGCACTGGGCTGCTTAAAAATTTTAGAAGTCTTAAGGCACTGATTTTGCTTCTTAAACTCCCCAAATTCTCTAAGTGTAGAATTTGGGGTTGGTTCTTTTTGACATAGCCCACATTAGTATTGTTATTGAATCACTGGCTGAACCTGCTGCAATCTTCAGACAAGGTAAGAGCTCACAAGCGGAAATCTGTCTATCCTGGACATATGAATCAATCTAAAATTAAAACTTGCAGTTAAATGAATGAAGTGAGACTCCTATTTCCATTCAGAAATAAGCCCTTACAGATATATGGAATATTATTCAGAAAAGAGCCTAGTTTTGTCCTAGGCCATGCAGAAGGCAGATTTTTGAAGGCTTTAATGCTTAATCATGCTGATGGTACCATACCAAGAAAAAAAACAGGCAGTTACTGTAAAAAATGGACTGCAGATTTCCTGGCCAATATAGAATGTGGAATAACAATTGGAATGCCTTAGCTACACAGTACTACAGCTGATATAACCTATATCATGGTACACATTCAAAACAGAAAATGTTAACAGCTGTTTTCCTTTCTATTTCTATAACCAACATAATCTCCACTTAATTTTCTTTCCACTAGATTGGCCATCCCTAGTTTTTTCAGTCTTCACTCAAAATAATTTGCTTATTTGACCCATTCTTAAAGTTGCTCATTCTAGCGTGAGGACACTTTGCAGAGATTGTTTGAACCCTTTTGTTGTGTTGGATACCCTAGGATTTTGTTGTATTTCAGATTTTGTATTTTGGTTAAAAGCTATTTTAGGATAATGAAACCCTTTTCAAAGGCTTTCCTGATTGCCCCTTTTTTTCATTATTCACATATCAAAATAAAGTGAACACCTGGCTATTAGGCATTCCCTGGCATCTTGACAGACCTTCTCAAGGATCCCTTTTAAGTACTTCATATAAATTAGTGGATATTTTATTCACTTTGCAGCATCACTTACACTTTCAGCAACAGGTGCAACCTAAATGCTACAGTCAATAGCTTTCTATTGCTACAGTTAGCATGCAGAACAGCTGATGGAACTACAGTGATATTTTAGCTAGAGCTATCCTAGGGATGTCATCAGTCATCTGAAATCTTCTGTTAGTTACTATTCTGTTTCATCACATAGAGATGCTTCCAAAATTCTCCTCATTCCAAATTTCTCCTCAGATTTCATTGTTCCAAAGGAAAGAAAACTGTTAATAATACATTACTGCTCTGGATTTATTTTCTCATTTTATATAGAAAGCTGTAGCTTATGAAAAGTTTCAACTATGATCTACACCCATACTCCTTAAAATGTGTGGATACTAATAGAACACAGTAGCAACAAAGGGCAGCTAATTATTAAGTGATGTCGCTTTATTGGAACTGCTCCTGATATGCGTAGGAGATTTTGCAAGGCCAAGCTAAAAGCCAAGCTAACACAAATGTATTTTGTCAGGAAAAACAAAGTATTGGCTCAGCCACAAGATGTCAAGTTGGACAATTGTTCCTTTACCAAAATATTTTCCTGGGAAAACTGCACTGTCAGCTTGGTAGTCTGAACAATAGCGGATCATCCTTAGGTGTGCTGCCTCACTCAGAACTAGACTAAAACTTTGTCTTATGGCAGGATTACTTCTACATTTTTTCCACAATTTGCAAGTGGTGTGCATACAAGAATTTGTGTACTTGATTTTATGCATTTCTCTGATGATAAAACAGGCTGTAAATTTGGATTTCCAAAAAGCTAAGAGAAAAAAAATGATAGAACATTGACAAAATAATGCTTTTATTTATTAAACCCAGATGAGGCTTGATGCCTTCCATCAATGCCAATTGGCTATATTTACCAATATAAAATGTTTCGATTTTATTGAAAATGCAGAACAAAGACAAAAATATTTTTTTAAAACCCTGAGCTCTGGTCATTTTTTCTACTGATTGTAGATGGACCTGAGGATGCCTTGAAGGTGCAAGTGGCCTCTTTTTAGCAGCCTGGTCAAATTTGTCCTGTCTCACAAACCAGTTTTAACTCTAGGGTGAGGGGGAGAAAAATATGGTTTGCTCCATCAGGCATGTACTGATCAAATTATTGTCAACGTCACCCAGAAGGGAAATCTGGGGAACAGCAGAGAAAAAAGCCACACAAACATGTTTCATTTATTTATGTTTGAAGCAACAAAAGGAAACATCAATTTAATACTTATTCTGGCATGATTGCTGCAGACAATTTTAACTTCACATCAACTTTATTAAGGGCTGAAGCAATCTCCCCAATTATAATGAAACATTCTCTCTTGTCTTCAACTCAATGTTTTCCATATATGTTAGACCATAACTCTCACCATAATGCTACTTGAAGATGATGGGCTTGTAATCTGGTATAGAGAACACAGAGATGAACATGGAGAAGGAATGCGATGTCAGCTAGAAAATCATGAACTAAGACCAGGAAAGGAAGAAGGTAGAGAGAAAGAAACTTAAAGTGACTCTCCATGGTATAATAGGGAGGAAAGGGGAACTTATTTTCAGTTATTCAAGATGTTGTTATTATAGCCTAAATTAATAAAGTAAAGTTCTGGTATTTTTTGTGGAGACCATTTCCTGACTTGGCTTATCTGAAAGGGCTGACATCTAGAGAATGAAGGCTGATTTATTTTTCTTCATTAATTCCAAAAAATTCATCCAAAAAAGGATGAAAATAAAATTTGCAAGTGTGTGCACAGGTACAGTATATGTGAACTATAATCTAGAAATGTTAATCAAATATTAAACAAAGGAAACAAATAGGAAAATAATATTCCAATCATATAGTTATTATGTGGAATGCAGATGTCTTTCATTTCAAGAAACAAGTTCCTAGACTTCAGAACCACAGAGCCAGATATGCTCAAAATATATTGAGTTTCCACTCATTACTTGAAAGACATAAACAGGAACAGACTAGCTCTTGGGAACATCTCAAGGCCATATAGATAATACCCTGTTCCCTGATTATTTTAGACACTAATCTTCATTCCCTTTAAGATAGATATGATATTTTGTGTAGATAAGATATTTTTTGTATTTGTTTAATACAAATACATAAATAACCATTTTCTATGTGCAACTACAGTATGTATTTCAAAATATATTTTAAAAAGATGACAAATATATCACAGTAAAATGTCTTGAACTTCTGATGCATGATTAATACTTTCTGAATAAGATGTGATTTAAAAAGTTAATAGCCAAACTTTTTTTCTTGTATAATATAAATTTCAAGAATAAAAATCAGAAGACTGTCCAATTCCTCAAATAATTGCTAGCTCAGTACTTACTACTGAATAAAATATTTATCTAGATTTGCTTCCTAATTATAAGGTCAACAACTAGGATAAAGAAAAAGTCAGAACAGACAATGAACTTTTGAGACCTACAGATAATTTTGATATGTCTCTGTAGTGAAACATTCAGTCCCAGTCAATGCAGGGATGGAACAGAATTAACAACTGATAAGGGGAAAAAATGGCTGGAAGAAAGTGAAATAAGGCACTTTAAGGTCACAAATGACTACATTATTATTTTTCCTGTGGTGAACCAGCAGTTTTCATGCTGTCTGCAGTTTAGAAATATTACATTAGACAGTAAAGATTTCACTAGATTTGCAACAATGCTTGTAATGTGACAAATACAAATGCTGATTATGGACCCTTACAGTATGATTTGAGTATGGAAAACCTTTATAATGCTCCTTTTCCAGAAATACTGGAGAAAAAAAACCTGAACAAATGATTAATCAACATATTCATTTTGAAAAATATGCTTCCTATGCTTATGAAGAAAAGATGATGGTATGCAAGTCATGGGGAATGGTTGATGAAGATGATGGGGCTTGCAGAGGTGGCCAAATTGACTTATCCGATTAGAAAAAGAAAAACATTTCCATTAGTGGCTGACTGGAAACACCTTACAAACTTTTTGCATGGAACAGCAATTATGATTTGGGTTTTGCTGATTAGAAAGAAAACTGAATAATAGAATTGGGGGATTCTCTTGGTAATCACAAAGCAAGAGATAAAGTTGTAATCATAATCAAAATGGTTGCTGCAGGGGAAATGTAAAGTTTCTTTTTTCTATTTTTTATCTTTTCTGCTTTTCTTCATTTTCTTTCAGTATTAGTTTGAATTAGTTTTAAGCTTTTTAAACATGTATGTATATATGCCTGTTTGTGTGTGAATATATATTTATTGTATA